CTAACAGACATTTCTTGTTGGATGAAGGACCATCACCTTCAACTCAGCCTGGCTAAGACAGAACTGCTTGTGGTTTCAACAAACCCATCACTTTATCAAAATTTCATCATCCAGTTAGGCTCATCAACCATAACATTTACATTTACATTTACATACATAACTCCTTCAAAAACAGCTAGAAACCTTGGAGATGTGATTGATGAAAAGCTGAATTTCTCAGACCACATTGCTAAAATGTATAAATAAAATGTTGTATAAAGCAGATTTGCTTTATACAACATTAGGAAGATCAGGCCCTTTCTTTCAGAACATGCAACACAACTCCTTGTTCAAGCTCTTGTTCTATCCAGACTGGACTATTGCAATGCTGTCTTGGCAGGTCTTCCAGCCACTTCTATCAAACCTCTACAATTAATTCAAAATGCCGCTGCAAGATTAATCTTTAATGAGCCGAAAGAACGCATGTCACACCTCTGTTCATCAATTTGCACTTGCTACCAATAGCTGCTCGCATAAAATTCAATGCATTAATGTTTGCCTACAAAACCACCACTGGCTCTGCGTCCCTTTACCTAAATTCATTACTTCAGAGTTATGTGCCCTTAGAAGCTTGCATTCTGCAAGTGAACGGCGTATTATTGTGCCATCTCAAAGAGGCACAAAATCAATTTCACTGACTTTTTCATTAACTGTTCCCTCCTGGTGGAATGACCTGCCCAACTCAATCCCAGCAGTCCTTAGCTATCTTCAAGAAATTACTTAAAACACATCTGTTCCATTTTTATTTAACCCTCTATCATTTTCTGTGTGTGTATATGTGTGTGTGTGTGTGTATATATATATATATATACCTTGCTACGTGTACTGCGTTAGGCTAAACGATACTTGTCATTTGCACTTATATATTGTTGCTCTTTTGTTAGTTTTGATTGCTTCTATTGTCCCCATTTGTAAGTCGCTTTGGATAAAAGCGTCTGCTAAATGACTAAATGTAAATGACTAAATGTAAATGATAATACCTGCTCAGTAAATACATGTGTCTGTGTGTTAGATCTGCTCTCTTGTTCTGTACTGTAATGCTTGACTTCGACTGTTGTATTGTTTTTGTAATGCTGCAGAAGAGCAATTTAATGAAAGATGCCAATGGTCCGTAAGTAACTACATTTATTAATAAAAATAATAATCAAAATGAATAATGCATTAGTGTAGTAAGCAAACAGAGTCTTGTATTCAGCTCATGTGCAACACATTTGTTTGCATAACTTCTTTTAAACCTGGTTTGTCCAATCAATGAGAGCCAGTGCTGTGTTTTATGATATTATAATAATTATCTGTGGATCAGACATCACTGCTGCTGTAATGTATCAGCCGTCATTCAGTTGTTGACTCAGATTTACAGCTGTGTGTTTGAGCACCTTAAACCTGAAGCGTGAGGACATATTGTGTTTTATACAGACAGACGGACAGATACTGTATGTATCAGTTGTTTTGAGAATGATGGAATTCCTGTTTATCTCTATCACCAGGCGACAACATCCTGTCTGTCCTCAAGCACCTGGTGATGTCAGATGAACTGGCGGATTCCTCAGAGTATCGCCATGGTAACATGGTGTTCTTCGACCTGCTGGGATTGATGATGGTGGCGTATCCTGCTCACGTTGGCACCGTCATCAACTACATGGTGGCCGTCGCTGTGGTGATCTACCTGGGAGGGAAATGCTTGTTAACCAGCAGTGTGGGTACGTAATGGATAACATGACCAGATATAGGTCTGTCACCAATTGTGTTAGTTTATTTTCATGTTATAAACTATAAAAACCAACATGTGAGTGTGTGTGTGTATGAGGACTCTCCATAGGCGTAATGGTTTTTATACTGTTCAAATCGTATTTTCTATTGCCCTACACCAACCCTACCCCTAAACCTACCCCTTACAGGAAACTTTCTGCATTTTTAGATTGTCAAAAAAAAATCATGCTGAATGATTTATAAGCCTTTTAAATTACGGGGACACTCAAAATGTCCTCATAAATCACCTTCTCGTTGTAATACCTATGTCATACCCATGTCATTATACAGATTTGTGTCCTCATAAACCACATAAACATATACACACACACACACACACACACACACACATAAACATTATATATATATATATATATAACATTTGGCTCGATTTAATAATTAAGTCCTTTCTTGACTATTCCATGGCAACACTGCCCTCTATGGCTGGAAGTAAAGGTGTCGACCCACTTCAATGAATTGGGGATTTAATGGTCATTTACACAGTGTTTCTGTAAAAAAATAAATAATAAATTGGGGGAAAACTAACAAAAATACTGATTAGATAATAATGATACGAATTCTACTAATAAGAACAATATAAAACGCACCAAGGATTAATGAGCTACTGGATTCATGAATATTAATCAGGTTGTGTGCGTTCGCTCGAACTGATTTGCTGAAATCAAAACAGGGACGATAATAGGTGAGCGCCAGCCAATGAGATTGCCGTTTGCGCATTAGTTCCGCCCACTAGCGGAGAAAGCGGTAGTTCTTAAAAGCAGAAGAATTCCAAAGGAACTCCGTTACTATGACAGCAAAATACAACCAAGAATATCGTTTACATGTTGCGCGCATAGGTAGCGCGTCAATTCTCTCTCTCTCTCTCGCTGCGTGTTTGTGAAACAAAGCGACGGTGAGTCGTGCGCCTTCACACTACAGTTTATGGTACGATAAATACAGGTGCGCTGCACATCCATTCAGATGAACTGAAAAACAGCAGATCGCTCGACGGAGAGTGAAACTCTGAAGCGCTCAGTCAGAGTGTGTTCGGCGAGTGAAAATATATCTGAGCTAAACTTATACGTAGCCTCCAACTCACACACTGGCGAGTAAATTCTGAGAATTTATTAGCAATTGGCTAATATTAGACATCATTTAGTCGCAAGAGTGAAGATTTAGTCGCATATGCGAGTGATTTACTCACAATGTAGAGGGTTGGTGTTTAAGAAATTTCGTTAATGGGCATTTTTAAAAAGAACACTTCTTTGAACATTTTTGCAAAATTTCTTCAAATTTCAGGAGGCTTATATAATTGCTATATTTTATAAAATTGATAGTATTCATTATACTTTATATTTTATTGAATATAATATTGTTAAATATGTTTAAAAATATTGTTAAAGTATTGCATTATCTATGTTTATTGATGTTCCTGTGTTTTTATAATTATTTTAATATCTAATATGAGTATTTATTTATTCATTAATTCTTTCATTAATTAATTAAATTTATTCATACATTTATTCACTCACTGACTCACTCATTCATTTATGTATTCATTCATGTATTCATTTGTTCGTTCATTCATTCCTTCATTTCTTTATTGAAACCGTGAATGAGCTCTTTCCGCTCCTCTGTGACAGGGTGTATTTTGGCGCATCACATGATCTGTGCAGCTGGCCGGTACATGCGTGATCTGGTGTGTGCGGTGTGTGTGCTGGTCTTGAGCTGGTTCTTCTCTCTGCTGATGGTTCTGCTGGTGGCTTGGCTCGTCACGCTGATGGGCCGCTCCATGTTCTGGTACAGTCACCTAGACGCTGCCGTCTATCTGTACGGATCTGCCACTGTTGGCATTCTCCTGCTGATCCACACACTGGTTAAGAACCGCTGCTACAGGGTGAGAGATGGACTTCATTCTTTCATTTATTAATTTATTCATACATTTATTCACTCACTGACTCACTCACTCATTCATTTACTTATTTATGTATTCATTCATGTGTGTTTTGGGTGTGTTTTGGCGCATCACATGATCTGTGCAGCTGGCCGGTACATGCGTGATCTGGTGTGTGCGGTGTGTGTGCTGGTCTTGAGCTGGTTCTTCTCTCTGCTGATGGTTCTGCTGGTGGCTTGGCTCGTCACGCTGATGGGCCGCTCCATGTTCTGGTACAGTCACCTAGACGCTGCCGTCTATCTGTACGGATCTGCCACTGTTGGCATTCTCCTGCTGATCCACACACTGGTTAAGAACCGCTGCTACAGGGTGAGAGATGGACTTTTCTGACACACAAACTCATCTGTCATCACAATGGCAGAAACACTCTTCTGTGATTTCAGCTGACTGAAATCTGTAGCTGCAGCTCTTAGTAGCAGGCGTGCTGAAAGGTGAATACAGCAAAAGCTGCTTTTCCTCCATTGGGCCAAACGCATGGCACAATTCCAAACTGTTCCCGAATGGAATTCTCCCGGAATGTTGACGCATGCTGCTGGAATGCATGTAGTGATGTCACCACTCAGGATCGGTCACTCGTCTGTGGCCTGGTTACCAGTTTTTCTGTAGCTGTGCTAAATGCACCGTTTGGCACAACATTGAAAGAGCAGCTAGAAACTACCACTAACCCACACCCTGACAGACAGATCCTCCAGCAATTATAAAGACAGTTCAGCACTGTACCCACTGCTCCAAACTGCAGATCTGATGTCACACTTCAACAACTCTGTTTCCTGGTCAACTGAACTGATGTTAACCTAAACACACTATTTTACCTTTTATGCCCAATCAGTAGCTTTATTGAAATAAATAACATTTATTTTTAATTTCAAATCAGAGAAGAGATAATGATGATGATTATGAGAGAAAGAGAAGCAAATCAGCTGAAATGACTCTGTGTGTGTGTGTGTGTGTGTGTG